CGAACCCGCGGGCTCAGGCAATCCACTCATCTCAGCCTCCTAAAGGCGCAGGATTACAGGTTGAGCCACCGAGCCCGGCTTGTTTATTATTTTTAAAAAATTTATTTTAAAGATGTGGGGTACAATTCAGCGTTAGGTATACAAATGTTCATTATTCAGGTACCCTTGTTGATGAGGTGTGCCCTTCCCTCCCGACAGTTTCCCTCAACTGCCAATCCCACCCTCCACCTTCCCAGCAGTTTCCCACTACTGCCAATCCCTTTCTTACAGTATTATGTAATTGTTCAAGGTCTGCTTATGAGTGAGAACATGTGGTACTCTGTTCGTTTTTGTGATCGATCATTGAGTATGATAGTCTCTAATTCCATCTAAGTTGATGCAAAGTCCATATGTTTGTCCTTTATGGCTACATATTGTTCCATTGTGTATAGGTCCCACATTTAAAAAAAATCTGGTCCAGCTTTCATGGGCAGCACGGTTGGTTCCATATTTTTGCTATTGTGAATAGAGCTGCAACAAACACGCGTGCTGTTCCGCCTTATTTAATACTCCCCATGTTGTTGCTTTTGTATAACAGTTTGAAATAGAAAAGAAGTGGATTAACATCGATGGAGAAGACCCAGATAGAGTTGGCGACTGTGCGACTCAGTAGGACAAGCAGGAGTAACTTATGACGACCCACTCGTCAAATGCACAATTGGCAGAAGCCTCACAAAGCTCTGCTGCTGTAGAGTGGAAATGACTGTGGAAGGGTGGGCTTATCACAGGACCAGTGATTGTGTTTAGACCCTAAGCCAAACAATCTGTGTTTTATACTTTTGATTTGTTTTTGCCCTAGGGGTTTGATCTAAAGTGTGTCTGTAATTTGCATGGTGTTTTGCTTCCTATTGAAACTCAAAGGCTCTGTTATTTGTCGTGTGACCTGGCAACCAGTTTGGTTTTTGACTACTCAGCGGCTGATTGTTTTGCACCCTGAATTACGTAGGTGCCACATTTATTATTCCCATCGCTTCTTGCTGTGTTAGCACCTGTACCAAGGTTAAGGCAATCAGAGGAGACATAAACCAAAATATTTAATTTTCCCTCTTCCTTGCCTCTGAAACGTGGCTAGATGTAGAATGATGTTGAAGCTACAGGCTAAAATGGAGACCTGAAAGTATCCGTGGTATTGAATTATTTATCTTCCTATCCTCTTACCCCATTGATAAATAATCATTGGCTGTATTTGGTACCTGTTTTTCCCCTTCTATATTATAATTTTCAAAATGTGTTTGTATTCTCGTGTATGCGGCAAGGAAACTATTTCTGTTGACGTATGTATTTTAACAAGTCACTGAGACATATTTCCTTTTGCTTGGCAGGATTCCTTTAAAAATGGAATCCACATGTTGGACACTAGTTAAAATAATTAAGTACATTAAAGATGAATTTTTAAAACTTATGACTATTGTTTTCCAAAAGTACAGACTTTAAGGATGTATTTTGATAAAGTATTGTTTGTAATGAACACAAGCCTTCTTTTGAGTAGAAATCTAAATCACATTATGATTATTTTATACTAGTCTGCTATCATGCTATTTTATGCTAATTCTGCTTAATTTAGAGTATTTTTCTTTAAAAGATGAGCAAAGTGAAAGGCACTAGATTTCTAAAAGGCAACATTTCTATCCTGGAGTCAGGTAAATGACTATAAAGTTAGCGGTATTAACAATTATAATTCTGTTTATAATTTCCTTTTAGAATTTATAGTGAAAAGTCAGAATTTTAAAATTTATGAAATCTATATGCCAGGTAATTTTTAGTCCAAAAAACAAACTCTTCTTCCGTGTGGTATTAATACACTGTCAATTTATGTTGAATCTTAAATATAATTAGGAGATATTTTTGTCTAGTTGCTAGATGTGTTTTGAGTCAAAACTGATAGAATGTTCTTCCAAACAACATTTCAGTTTTGGTCTGCAGAGTTTATTTCATACGTTTTATTTAATGTTGTATTGCATTCATTGTGATCTGTCCGAAAAACAGATTAAAACAAACATTTATATGATGGTCTGTATCAATCAGCAGATTTTATTGCTTTTCATTATTTTGACTGTATAGAAAAAAATGCAAACGTCGATGGTTGAAATGAATTGATATTGCTCTTTTAAAACTTTATTTGATGCATTGCTCATAATATCATATGCTTGAGACTTACTGTTGATGTATAGTAGGGCGAATCTCTTTTAGTGTGTGTCATTTTTTTCTTTTTTTGAGTTGGAGTCTCTCTCTGTCGCCCAGGCTGAGGGCAGTGGCATGTTCCTGGCCACCCCAGCCTCGACCTGTTGGTCTCTGGCGATCATTCTGCCTCAGCCTTCCAAGTAGCTGGAACTACAGGCGTGTACTATCATGCCCAGCTAATTTTTTGGTTTATTGTAGAGACAAGGACTCATAAGTTGCTCAGGTTGGTCTTGAACGCCTGAGCTCAGATAATCCTCTCTCCTTGTTTTCCCAAAGTGCTGGGATTACAGGCTTGAGACACTGCACCCGGCTGCGTGTCATTAAAAAAAAAAAATCCCACCATCTTTTCTTATCATCTGGTGTGGGCACACTCTGGAGTGACATCGATCTTCTCAGAACAAATATGGAGACGAACTGAATTTCTGGCGCTGCACCATCATCCTGGAGAAGTCAGCTGGGTTCATTACTGTCATTCCTTTCCAAGTGCGTTTTATGGCATCCTGCCCACCAAGCACTCACAATCTGATTCAGATGGACTTAATGAATATTTACACCTCAGCATTAATTCAGCCAAGGGTTCAGTTAGTTACCCCTCCCTCAGGTTTAGCAGGCCGACTAGTATCTGTGGGTACCTCCCTGCTAGGGTCGTTTACTCACAAGCCACCCAGGCTTCAGGAGCATCTCAAGATTCAGTGTTGAAAATGTGACACAAGACTGGCTAAAGCCCAGTGGAGTGTCTACAGCAACGCAAAGGTTGATAGCATTAACAGCAGGGTGCTTCCGCTTAATTGTGAATTCACACATCTATTAGGATCTTAAATATTCATTACTTAGAGTTGAATTAACATTCTGTGTAGGGAGGAGAGAGGGCTTTTTAATACAATTCTTCTGACCTCAAAAATGGCGGGAGGTCAAATGTGACTACAGAGCTCTAAGTGAAAAATCAGGTAGGATCCAAATTAAGAAGTAGAATCTCCTTTTTTTTTTTAACCTTTTATTTGTCAGAATAGTGATCTTCAAAAAAAAAAAAAACCCCTGCTTTTAGGGATGGGTATGAGGGAGGGGAGTAAGGAAGACATAAGCCTTTTCTAGCATTTTGATTTCCATCACTCCATTATGAATTGGACCATTTTGTAGTCAAATTTGCAGACTTCCAAGGAGTTGATCGGTTTGTGACTAGTCTGCTGACCTTTCCATTTACAGGGTCATATTAAATGTGTAAATGAATTCGTGGGTTGATCATTACATGGTCAATTGTGAAGATCTGAATTTAAGGACGTGTCCTTTTCCTATGACTCACAACAGTTTATTCATTTTAAAAAGAGAATACTTTCCAACACAAAAAGCTGGAGTTTTCGACCAGATGTATATATTAGATAGTTCTAGGATTTTAGTTCCCATCCTTCTGGAGCTATGCTTATGATGAAGTCCTTTTCTTATAAATTCCCTTAGAAGTCCTTCCTTAACAATGACTATTATAATGTTTTGCTCAAAATATGATTTTATGTCCTGTCAATACAAATATAAAACAGATTGAGCCTTAATAATCATGTAACAAAATATTTTGTAGATTACATATTGATTTTTCTAAAATTAAAGATGTATTTCAAATGATTCTTGCTATGCTATGGATTTATTTTTCTTCTGCCAGGCCTGGGGCTATTTTTTTAAGGTATGAAATCAATTTCAATAACCTTAAACAATTGACTCCCTGTCAGGCATATGTACATGTCTTCTCTATTAAGGAGTCAGTGAACATGACATCTGCTCATATTGGCATATCCTGGAAATATGACAGCATCAGACTACAGTTGATGATGTTATAAAGGATGATTTTAAAAATAAGGTATAATCATGACTCATAAAGATGTGAAATGAGTATGTGCACCAGATTTTATTTAACTCATTAACTAATGAGAGAACTGGTAAGATGTTATCATTCGTTCCAAGGAAAATTCAAAGAACAGAGGTATATATAGGAAGTAAAGAATTCAGAAAAGTTTCTGTGATAGATTACTAAGTATGATTGTCTCACTCATAAGTGGGACCTGAACATTTATCACAACAGCACAAGGGAGGGATTCACAGTCGCAGGACACTGCCAGGGGGATAGGGTAGGAAGGGGGGCAGTACGTAACAACACAAAGGGTCTCTGGTCCTAAGTAAGGGGAAGTGAGGACCAGTTGGAGGCCCAAACTTCACCTGCATGTAGATTACTTACGCATCTAATCCTGACTTGAACCCCACATCGTTATAATAAAATAAGGTAAAAAAAATTAAGAAATGAATTTACAAACAGATGTAAAATGGGTCTATCCATAGGGCAATAAGCAATAATCCCTCCTACTCTTTTTTTTTTTGAGTTGGAGTCTCACTCTGTCGCCCAGACTGGAGTGCAGTGGCCGCTCCCGGCCACCGCAGCCTCTCCTGCTGGGCTCCGGCGATCCTTCCGCCTCAGCCTTCCCAGTAGCCGGAATTACAGGCATGCGCTACCACGCCTGGCTGATTTTTTGATTTATTGTAGAGATGAGGTCTCGCCGCCCAGGCGGGTCTCAAATCCTAGGGCTCAGGCAGTCCACTCACCTCAGCCTCCCAGGGGGCGGGATTACAGGCTGAGCCACCAGTCTGGCTAATCCCTCCGACTCTAACACAACTAATTTGCATTTCTCTGAACAAGGATCATGTGCATTATTACCAGTTTTCTTCAACTTACAGAGTTGTCAAATAACTGAAAGACAATAAAAGATGTCGATAGCCTGCATGAATGAATCATTTTTCCTGATAATAAGACAAACTTTGTCCACAGAAGAATTCCATAGAATTTTCAAACTTTAGTAACTTGTATAGAAGTACTATGGAAGTAACGTACACTTAAGAGCAAAGTTTTTAAAATTTAGAGAACTAGTTCTACACAGTTATACAGAATACATTTCGGGTAAGGTGTGTGTGTTGGTGGGCGGGGGGCGGGGAGGCAGGAGAGGAGTGGAGAGAGGCCATAAGAGATACGAAGGGAAGTCAGTCCTGATACAATTCACAATTGCAAAGATGTGAAATCAACCTAAATGCTCATCAAATGATCAGTGGATAATAAAACTATGAGATATATATATATTAATATATATGTCATGTACACACACACACACACACACACACACACACACACACACACACACCATGAAATACTCTTCAGCCATAAAAAAGAATTAAATGTCTTTTGCAGCAACTTCGATGGAATTGGAGACCATCATCCTCAGTGAAGTAACGCAGGAATGAAAAACCAAACACATCGCATGTTCTCACTTAAAAGTGAGAACTAAACTAGCTAAATTAAGGATCTGCCAAGGCATATAGACATAATGGATATTGGAGACTCTGAAGGGGGAAGGTGGGTAGGGAGAGGGATGAAAAATCACCCATCGGGTACAATGTACACAGGTGGGGGTGGTGGGTACATTTAAAGCCCAGACTTCTTTGCCACTATACAATGCATCTATGTAACAAAAACCCATTTGCACTCCCAAAAGCTATTGAAATAATAATAATAAAAACTTCTGCCAGGCGTGGTGGCTCACACCTGTAATCCCAGCACTTTGGGAGGCAGAGGCAAGAAGATCATCTGATTTCAGGATTTGAGACCAGCCTGGGCAACTTGGCAAGACTTCATTACTACAATAAATCAAAAAAGTAGCTGGGAGTGGTGGCGTACACCTGTGGTTCTACCTACGTGGAAGGTTGAGGCGGAAAGATTGCCTGAGTCCAGGAGGTCGAGTCTGTGGTGGCTGTGAGTGTGCTACTGTAC